TTGGCACAGTGCACAGAAGCTAAAAAAGGAGAGTGGCTAAAGGCACCACAGAAGGCCACCTCTAAACATAGCCTGAGCTAAAAAGACCTAGTAAATTGGCAATGCAAACTGACAAAGGGAAGGAATGAAGCAGACACCTCAAAGGCTTTCATACCCCATCCTGAAATGCCAAGCAACAGGACAGGATTTTCCTACTAAATATAAGCAAGATACTCAAACACTAAATTTAGTTCACGCTTTTCATGGGACGGGAAGCAACAGAAACATTTTTAGGTACATGTGAAAATAGGCCACTCGTCTATGACGGTATGATATAAAGAACAGCAGAAAACCAACCTGGAACATGTTGACATCGAGGGCTCTTACTGGTCCAGTGTGCTTGTCTTTCTGCGCAATTATTACTTCAGTGTCTCCGTCTATGATTTTGGCTGGGTCGTACAGGATGACATTTCCATTTTCACCCCCAGCAATCAGGACTCCAGAGACTCTCTCCCCCGAGGTCATGCTGTGCGGGCCCCAGATCAGCTTGTGGTACCTGTAAGGCATAGAGAGCCCCACAGTCTACAACCATCCACCACCAGCTCCCAAAAGAAGGATGAATCCCCTTTTTGCTCACCCCAGCTAAAGCCTCTGCTGCAAACAGACAGAGCAGACATGTCAGAGAAAAGCACTGCCTGCATTTCTCCTTAACGATGAGTCTCTGTACTTACAACTCCTTCCATCAGAAAGACATGTCCCAATTCTTCTCATTAATAAGATGCAGGGTCACAACACGAACAACCAATAATCTGGAAATTGATAACATCTTTAATCTCCTGGCTGCAAGAACAACTAAGTGCTCCCAGCTGCACATGATTTTGAGCTCACCTTTGCAAAACAACAGGAGTACTCAAAGTAAGGACTGTAAAAGCCAAACCAACTGCAGCCTGGAGAAAAACCTTTCCTATTTGCCAATAGCTTCACACAAGGGGGAAAAAAAGGTGGAACTAGAAAAATTCCACCTTCCTTCCCATATCTGTGCTTTTAGATGTGCAAGCATTTCATCTGCCACACCAGGGGCTCACATCTAAGACACATCTCTTGGACCACAGTCTATTTTCCAGGCTAAATCACAGGAAACTAAACATCCTTCCAGAAATTAGGAATTTTTGCACCTCTGTGTCCCTCTGTAATACCCAAATTTCCTTAAACTCAGTGAACTTGCTACATAAGCAAAACAGCATTCCTGTGCATTTAGACATGCAAGGAATGAATTTCTTCTAATAAAATGACATGGTTACTCATGAGCTCTTATGCAAAGCAGAAAGCAAACTGGAAGGTGGCAAGGAGCTACTTTAGCATTCACTCTATTATCATGAATCTCTTTGTTATCTCTGGGAAGTCTTGAAGTAATTTCTTTAAATCACAGCAACTTCAGCAGGATAAAATACATCCTGCAGGAAGCTACACAAAGAGCATAGGCTGGGTGAGAAATACTGTAACAGCTAAATGCGGAGTTTCTCACTGTTCAGATTACAGGGGAGGTTCCCCAAAGAATGATGCTATGAAAGGAAATTGGTCTGTGATATCAGACAGTCCCATTCTCTGGGTATGATCTTTATACTTCTGCACCTAACCATGAAAGTTGACGAGAAATGGAGTGACTGACAGGGTTGTCCAGGCACCACCAGCAAGACTGAACAGGACTTCAGATAATCCAAAATAAAGGCAGAAAACAGTAAGGAACAAAAAATCCAAGTCAACTGTTCAACTACCTTTCTCTAACCCTTTGCTCTTTCCAAGATAAAGTATAGTCCTACAAGAGCAGTGCAAAACTTTCCTTGTCAAGGATTTATCTTTTGTGGGTCTAATCACCAGGACATTTTCACTTGCTGCAAACCAAAATAAAGCCTGATGTATACACTGCTATCTTATCTTAAATAAAAAACAAACAACCAACCCTCGACCTCCTTTGTAATGTATTTTCTGGGGCAAAGTCAAATTCTTGTGTTGCTCATCAAGGGAGGTACTTTCATAGAAGCTCTGCATCCTGGCTATAAGGAGTGTTCTTTGAAATTCAATAAACAAATGGCAAGCCTCAGAAAATCTCAGACACAGTTAAAACTAAATAGAACAATGAAATTCTTAAAGATCAAACATCTCATCCTGCTCCGAGCAGGTCAGCAAGAACATGTTAACATCAGCTTTGCCCACAGTGTAGGGCATTAAACAGAGATTGTGGATGTTTCACCCACAAGGAGCAGTAGCCACTGGACCAGCTGCCAAAGAGCTGCTACAAGCACTGCCGAGATGAAAATCGGATGCTCTGATGCTAACAATGTTTCTCTGGATGAGCATACAGTAAGGAACAAAGCACTAAGTGGAGCTGCACAGTCAAACTTGGCTTCCCAGCTGTGGGAACACGACCCGACTTAATTGTGTTATAGGAGCCTCCCTGAAATGCCTAAATACAAACGGGATGGGTCAATAGGAGAAGTAAGCACTGTATTTTCACAATTTCACATTTCCTTCTGTTCTCTTGTGAATCCCAGAGGCTTCACACACACACTCAAACCTTCCAGCCAATGTCAGATATTTCAGGTTTATATCTGAGCATGAGCTGTTTGCAATCTCTTGGAATCCAAGCTAACTGCCCTACAACATCACTGGCACTCGTGTGCCTTCGTCTTTCAGTGCTGAACTTCTTCTCCTCTCCTCAACAAATGCAGATAAACCATATGAAGTGACTTTTCCACACACACACCATGTACAACAGTTCCACAGACGTCACTTTTCCCTTACAACACTGCCTACCTGTGGGAGGAGGAAAATGTGGCACAGGTCTTCATATCCAGTGAGGGATCTGATAAGTCCAACTCAAATATTTCTAGAGAAGCACTTGTACTGAAGGTGGCATCCAGCTGCTGAGCTGACGTACCTGCAAGGAAGCACGCCTGGCAGTGAGAAAGCCACAATACACAGAGCACTGACTGGAAAAACAGAACAAGGAGGGACATAAAAGCAACATCCTGGCAAAAAGATGGGGGTCAGGTTCCTGTTTCTGTTATTCAGATGCAGTTCTACATAACTCTTCTACCTGTGGTTCAGCCTTCGGGTGTTTCTTAACCAGTATCAGCAGGAAAAGCTTTAGGCCAGTAGCTCTCTCCCTGATGATGCACAGAAAATTATTAGTTACAAACAAGCCACAGGTGACCAGCAATTAGGACTGCTGTCACCTTCCCCTGGAAGAAAGAGAAGATGGCGTGCTGTCACTTGCAGAATGCAAAGCATGTTTCATGCTGGCACAACTGGAGAACTCAAGGCACCACAATCTATACCTTAATCCAGACTTCAGGATGCATAGGAACTCCTGCAACTTTCAATAAGGGCAGCCACTGCACATAGCTAGAGGTTTGTTAATCCATGCTTCCCAAAAACTCACCTGTGGCCAGGTAAATGGGGTGCTGCTGGGCAGGGCTCCATGCCTGCATGGCAGTACGATCTATTTCCTTCAGCTTCATTTTGCTAAAAAATAAAGACCAAGAAAGGTGATGCTTAAACAGAGCATGGTGAGGGTGCACTGCCACGGGTTCAGCTGCTGCACCAGGACTTGGCAGGAGCTGCCAGAGGTACCGTTCTCCAAAAGATATCCCACGGACTGGCACCTCAGCCATCCTCTCCAGAGCACACGCGTGGGGGAGGGGAGGAACAACTCCCCGTTGGCAGAGTAACACCGACACGTAGGGGAAACTGATGGTTGCTGGACATAACACAAGAAAACGGGGGCAAACCCTCAACTGCTGCGAAAACCCCTCTTCCAGCAGCACCAAGGGACCCACCACCCTACAGCAGCTCTGTGCCTTGACCCACGAAACAAATCCTCTCCCGAGAAAACCCTCCCTGGACCTCCTGCCGCCAAACACCCTCAAAGCAGCCCATTTTTGGGGTCTTACTTCAACACCCCCCACCCTCGGCAACTCGCTGCGCGGCCAGCGGGACCAGCACCCACGGCCCGCTTCCCACAGAAGCCGAAAGGGAAAAGAAGCGGAAAGCCGAGATTCCCCCACACACACCCCCGCCCGGCTCACCCCCGCGTCCCCGGCGCTCAGGCGCTCCCGGACCGCTCCAACGTGGCAGCCCCGGCACCGCCCCCCGGCCCACACCGCCTTCCGGGCGCGCCCCGCGCCTTCCGGGTGGCGGCGCCGGGGAACGCGCCTTCCCGCGGCAGGAAGCGCCCGTGTGCTGGTGGCGGGGGGGGTGGGTGGGGGTGATGTGTGAGTGTATGGACGGGGATGTGCAGCCGCCTCCTTCCTCGGGGTTGTCCGCCGCGTCTCTCGGGGAAGGCGCAGCCATGGGCCCTGGGGAAGAGGGAGACAGGAGTTAGGGGATCCAGAGGAGCCGGGGCGGGGGAGCGGGGGAGAAAGAGAAAGCGGGAGCGGCGGCAGTGCAGGGGCTGCGGTGCCGCCTGTCCTCAGCTCTAGGGAAGTAATCATGGCGTGCTCATGATGTGAACAGCAGTGAGGCTCATCATCGGACAGGGGCGGGGCGGGGGACACAGCCCGAGGGAGCGACCAGGCGGCATCCACAGCCGGGGGGGCGGCGGCGCCGGACCCACCTATCGCGGCAGCCGAGGCGCAGCTGCGCTGCCGCCTCCCACCGCCGGGCTCCGCGGCCGCCGGGAGGGCACACGGCGTGGCCGGGCGGGCGCCGCCCGAGCGGCCCAGCGAAGCTGTATCGGTACCGCGGCACGGAGGGAAAGAGGGGCGATTCTCTCAGCCCCGCTATATATAGGGGTGGGGAGCGCCGCTCCTATTGGCCCCGAGGATCGCCGCTCACCACTGGCTGTGCCCGCCGAGGACGCCGCTCCCGGTTGGCTGTCTTCCCTTCACGGTCCCGCCCCTTGGACGGCGAGGACGCCTTCGCGCCCAATGGGGCGGAGGTCCGATGGCGCCGCCGGCCAATGGGGGAGGGGGCGGTGCGGACGGGGCGCGCGGGGCGGTGCGGTGTTGCGCGCGGGTCCCGCCATGACGCGGAGCTGCTCCGCGCTGGGCTGCACCGCTCGCGACAGCGCGCGGAGCCGCGAGCGCGGCGTCTCCTTCCACCAGTGAGCACACGCCCCCCGCGCCCCAGCCATCCCTCCCTCCATCCCTCCCTTCCTCCCTCCATCCCTCTCTCTCCGTCTACCGCAGGTTCCCGGTGGACGCCGTGCAGCGCAGCGCGTGGATCCGCGCCGTGAACCGCGTGGACCCGCAGAGCCGGCGGCCATGGCTGCCCGGCCCCGGCGCTATCCTCTGCTCCCGACACTTCGCCGAGGGGGACTTCGAGCGCTTCGGGCTGCGGCGGAAGCTGCGGCGGGGGGCCGTGCCCTCCCGCTTCCTGCCCCCGGTGCGGTGCGGGCCGTACTGGCCGCACTCCCTTCGCCCCCTGCCCGCGGGTTGTTCCCATGTGCCGTGACCTGCCCTCTCCCTCCCCCGCCAGGAGCCGCCGGGCACCGGCCGGAGGAGGAGGAGCAGGACCCGCATGCAGGCACTGAAGCAGCCGCTGCGCGGCCCCCCCGGCGGGGACCACAACTACAGCCTGCGGGGCCGCCCCACGGACACCCCGCGCACCGTGGCGAGCCTCCTCAGGATGCTGGTGAAGAAGCGGCAGCTTCCTGAGGAAATCGTGAGTTTGCTGCGGGCGCAATTCTCAGGTACTGCAAGGGATGCTTGCTGAGGTAGACGGAGCGTGTGCTCGCTCCTTCATCCTGGTCTTGTGTCTTTGCTTGACTGTGTGGTTGCTGGTAGGACTTCTTAGATTTGTGCTTTCTAGGTCCAGAATACAGCAGCCAATCCTACAGAGAATTAAAGTCTCCCAAAAACTCCAGTTGCCTGAGGCTGGCTGCAGTGTTCAGGTCAGACCTGTAACCAAGGCTGTTAAATGAAACTGTGCCACCATTTAGTTGTCACATGACTCAAGAATAGAGTGTATTTAACTAGGAAAACCTTGTCTTTTGTGCTGTCCAGAAGTGAGTACTGTTAACGTTCATGATCTAACCCGAAGAAGCCATTTCAAATCACAGAGTTCAGCTGTAAGTTGCTGGCTTCTTTCTTGCTACATCAGTTTTTAAGCAGCACCCATGTGTAAGATTCACAGTCTTTATTCAAAACTGTAGAATGACATTCACACCAGACTTCAGGACCGAGTGGTTCCAGAGGCCACCCCATTGCCTTATGTTCTGCAGTGTACTTGTATCGCGCATCCCTCTGTTAAGAGCCCTTTGTTTGTTTCACTAAAGCTGACCTCTTGTGATTTCTTTTCGAGCAGATTTGCCTTTGGAGTTGCACAGCTGGAGGCAGATGGCAGAATACTCACCAGAAATGAAGCAATTTGCCTGTATTCTCCACCTCTACCATATTAAGGCCTATGATTATCTGCGGAAGATTTTTCCCCTCCCTCATCCCTGCAGCCTGACAAAGCAAGTTTTTCTTCATTCCTTCATTCTGAATGTATTTCCAGGTACTCATGGAGAAATAGGTGTAACAATCTGTCCCAAAGAATAGTAATTCAAGGGTAGTAATTTTCCCTGCTTGGTTTTTAGTAACAGGAGCAGAGTGGAAAGCAGATATCAAAGAACACTGATAGCCTTCAAGAGAGCTAGAATGTGTTCCTGCATGTGGGTCACAGCATAAGAATTACACACCTGCACTGTGTCCCAGGCTGCTTATCAGAATTTACTACCTGAAGTGCTGTCAGACCTGTCAACAAGAGGTTGTAACAACACAAAAAAAAAAAGGCTGAGGGAACTCTTCCCCCTGGAGGTTTAGAGCCTCAGACTCCTCTAGGGCAGCTGGAGAATGCCCAAAGGATACACACGTTGTCCATGCCAGCCTATGGGGGTTTTATACAGCTTTCTCCAAGGAATCTTCTCAAAGGGGTGGCTGGAGATAGTGGATAGGGCAGTGTATTGGGAAGAGTAGCATTCCACATGGACTGCTGAGGGTTTCACATCTACTAATCTGGATTACAATGTCCGTTGTGGAGAAAGCCAGTTGGGAAGGAGAACAGACAGGTGTTGCTGGCCCTGTACATAGCCTGATTTGCACTTCTGTGGTGTAATTCCACCCCCCCCCCCGCCCCCCCCCCGTTATCACGAGATCTTATACAAGGTACTTTCCTTGGCTTCCCATCACTAGAATGCGAGAAAACAAACTCACGCTATAAAGAAAGGCAGGGCTGCTGGTTTTAAACTCTGCATTAGTCTTTACAGCTCCAGGCATGGCTGACCACATCCCAAGGGGTAAAAGGTGCTGACTGTTGCTTCAGCTTTCTCAGAATCATGTTTCAGAATCGCATCATCCCTTTTTTTCCAGTTGGCTGTCTAATAATGAGACTGCTGCAGGCTTCAGCAATGACATTTTCCTCCAGCTTCAGGAAAAGGTGGAGAGAGGGGATCAGGCCTACTGCTACTGTGCTGTGATGGTACAAGACATGTCCTTGCAGAAGCAGCAGGAGTGGGACCCACAGACCAGGTGCCTGACAGGCTTTGTTGACCTGGGAGCAGGCATCCTTGATGCTGATGAGGCTCCGCTGGCCTCGGAAGCGATAATCCTCATGGCAGTCGGCATCTCCAGTCCCTGGACAGCTCCACTTGGGTATTTCTTCGTGAACAGCATGACCGGCCGCTTGCTTGCTCAGCTCTTTCATCAGACCATCAGTAAGCTGAATAACATTGGGGTCACGGTCCTGGCTGTGACATCAGGTGCCTCTGCTCACGGTGCTGAGACCGCCAGAGCTTTGGGGATCAGGATGGATCCTGAAAGGATTCGGTGCACTTTCCGTCATCCACCTGGTTCTGCTCACAGCATCACATACTTCTTTGATGTTTGTCACGCGCTCCAGCTGGTAAGGAATGCTCTGCAGTGCTTCCAGAAAATAGAGTGGCTCAGTGACACCATGTGGTGGCAGCATGTGGTGGAGCTGGCAGCTCTGCGGGAGCAGAGGGTGTTGGAGCCATGCAGTCCCGGGTCAGGCAGATCTGGGAGCAAAGAGAGTTACCATCTGAAGGTCAACCCTGCTACACTGCTCTTCAGCGAGGGTGTTGCCGATGCCCTAGAACACCTCCAGAAGCTGGGCCTGGCCTCATTTCAGAACTGCAGTGGCACTGTCAAGTTTGTGCGTTTGATGAGCTCTCTGCGCGATGTATTTTGTGGCGGAGTTCCCTATGGAAAGGGACTGAAGGTGCCTTTGCTGGCTGGAAATTACACCAAAATAAGCAACCTCTTCAGTGAGGCCAAGAGCTTCTTTGTCACCTTAACAGACTCTGTGGGGAGATACATTATTAAGAGCAAACGCAAACTAGGATTTCTGAGTCTCTTGCTCAATGCTGAAAGCCTCAAGTGGCTTTACTCCAACTACACATGTCCAGAAGGCACTCCTTCCCACCACCTCCAGACCTACGCCTTCAGCCTGGATGCACTGGAGCTGTTTCTCAGGGCCCTCAGGCAAGCCTGTGGCACCAGTGGGAGCCCCACCTGCACGGTGTTCCAGGCTGCTTATCACAAACTGCTGGCCAGCTGCAGCCTGTCACCAGGCTCAAGACACGGCAGTGGCTCAGGTAACATGAGCTCCTTGGACGTATGCCTGTCTCGTAGCAGAGATCTGACCCTGGGCAGCATTTGGGCTCAGTATAACCCAGCTCATGGGAAGGCACTGGCAACAGAGTACCCCTTCTGTGCAGGCCTACTTTTGCACAGCTCCACGCTGAGTAACGCACTGACGGACCTGTCACTCCACGCACGAAGCATCACCTGCGCCGCTGGCTTTGTGGCTGAGCAGTTGGCCTGGGACTTGCAATGTGAGGCTTGTCTCGCTTCCCTCTTTGACTCAGATGAGAGCAGGCTGAGGTGCAGGTCAGTGCTCTACATAAAAAAGTTGGGCAGAGTGAGTCTGCCCTCAGCAAGTGTACACCACATAGCAAGCATTTTGGAACGAGTTCTAAAGTGGTACTGCAATGTAGAGGACTGCAACAAAAACACCATGCTGTGGCATTTGTCTCTAGAACAGGAAGTCTTCCAGGAGCTTCTGGGAGAAAGGCCCCTCTTTCCCACACTCACAAACCATTTATTTGATGGGGAGTTGAGCATCAACAACCATTACACAGTTTTAGTAAAGGATATAACAAGATGCTACTTAAACATCAGAACAAACACTGCGCAACACCTGAACTCGAAATACCCTTGTGGAAGGCGCAGATTGAAAAGACTGAAGGGGAGACATTTTCTTCCATCACCACTGGGTAGTTGTCAGTCAAGCTATACTCACATGGGGTCATGAGTTCTCTGCTGTTCCAAGGATGGCTGTGCCCTGCTGAGGCTCAGCGATGGCTGGATCGAGGCAACACGTCTTCCCACAATTGGGCCAGCAAAACTGGCGTTGATTAACAGTGATGTGCTGAGCCATGGCAAAGCACCTGATCAGAGTCTGAGTAAGCGAAGCAAGGAGGCTTATCTGATCCTGTGTCCCATCTAGCAATCCTGCAAAGCAGCCACACACTTCATGAAACTTGTGTGGTAGGTCAGGATGAGCGACAGTTGCCTGGGACAGTGGTAGGAGACACTGCAGTGTCCCCTGGAGGTGCTGGATGGCTCTGCTGTGAGCGCTCTTGCCGGGAGAAAACTGATGCATATTCCATGCGGCTGGGGGAGATCACAAGTGCTGGCAATTTGATTTCACCAAAACAGGTCTGCTTTATAAAAGCCACAGGCAAGAAAACTTGAAGAGCTTTTACCTTAAAAGCAAAATAAAAATTCGAAAAGAAAGTGGCATTCAAGTTGTATGTTGGTGTGCTGCAGCAGGGTGAGTGTTTCAGGTCCCATTTCATGGTCCCATTTCATGGCCCCATCAGCTCACCTACTCAAACTCAACTGTGTCCTGCAGCCCAGGGCACAAGGGAGTCTCCTTTTGACGTTTCCACTGATGACTCATAGTCATAGCTCTGATACCACCCTGATGCCACCAGGTAGGACAGGCAGGCTTCTTCAGTTAATTCATTTCCATGGCAAATGAAATTGCCTCCAGCGCTTTACCAGGAATAAAAAAGTTTGGCATGACTACTACTAAATGGCATCCCTTTACTGTGCAGAACAGCAGTTGCATCCATAGAGACAGAAGGCAACTAATTCCCACCAAACTTGCCATTCAGTTACTTCCAAGTTTCATGATTGAGATGGGATGAAAAATGGTGATCCACCATGTCCGAGGGCAGGAATAATAATTAAAGGTGCCATTCTGCCTACCAGGGACTTGACAAAACCATCCCTGGTTGGTTTGGGTTCCTCCTCCTCCACTTAGTCCTAATCACACATGGTGGGAACAGGACTGCTACACTCAGTTCCTCAAGCTCTGCTTTGAGAGCAGCAGCACCACAGAACTTAATGCAATTGCTGCTGGGAGGAACAATCCAAAACATGTAGTCTGGTTTTTTTCCACTCCAGTTACCTATGCAAAAAGCCGTTTTGAAGCCATCACTGTCACAAAGCCAATTCCAGCTACACTAGACTTTGCAGGAAACTATTTCCCTCCCATATATATACGTATGTGATTTTTAGGGCAACTGGCAAAATGTTGCCAAAATCCCAGTAGTAAATTGGTTGCAATCATGTAACACTTGCATTGCTTACACCTCCAGCCCCAATATGAGTAGTTATGAAATGGGATTGCTGTGCATGGCAATACACCAGTAACCAAGGGATGTTTACCTCTGGGAGGACTTGGTCTCATACTGAAAATGCAAGTCAGTACTTGCATCAGAAGTGGACCTAGTGTTAACAATTAATTTTGATATTTCAGTGAAAAACCTTCTGTGTGTATTTGTCAGTGCTGAAGAAAAGTGCAAAAAAAAAAATCATATTTACAGAATAGTATAAATGTTTATTTTTTGTGATTTATCTGACTGTTTTATTTGTACAATATAGAAAAGTGTATTTTTTGAATAGGTCTTGTAAATATAAATTTAATTTTTCTACTTTTGGATGTAAACAGAACTATAAAATGAACCCTTGCCCCATTCCCAATTATTTTTATTTAACTGGATGAACCGGATGACTGTAAATCTTGTCCAGCGGTTTGATACAAATGGCTAAGGAAGTACAAAAACCAATTCACACACTCTACACCAGGGAGAGGGGAGAGAGGAATCCAAGCTTAATATTTGAGAAAGCTTGTTCAAAACAAAATAGAAGAACTAAGAGCATTTGATTGCACCTTCAAAGTCTTTACAAGCAAAATATTCTCCAGCAATGCCATCATACATAATTACAACTGTAATCTAAATTTCACAAGTGCTTTTGCACACTGTATATAAATACACATCACAAAAGGTGCAATTTAGAGTAAGACACGGAATATATACAAAATTAACATGGATTGAAGTCTAAATAAAAGGCATATTGCAATCTGTTTGAAAAATAAGTAGGTATTACTTTATTCACTTACACTAATTTACATTTATACAAATCTTACTGGACATACTATATTAGGTCACTAGAAGTAAACGGAATATCCGCACTATCTACAGGTAAAGTTACCGCACTGATTTTTTTAGTAAATCCAAGTCCTAATCATGAGAAAAATGGCATCTCCTTACACGAGAGGTCCCTTTTCAGAGATATGCACAAGTATACTTGTTATTTACGCTCAGGGAGATGTTAATGGCAGACAGAGCCCTTCAGACAATGACTGGCAGGCCAAGCCCTGTATGCAGCACTCAGTGGGCCCAGCACTGCTGCTGGATGCTTTCCAGGCCCTTTCATGCCTCCAAGGCATTTTGAGGAGGCACTGGTCAAGGGCTTAGTGCACAGGGCTGTGAGGTGAAGCATCCTCCCATCCTATTGCCTTCACACACATAGGCACATATCTCTGCTGCTGGTTTGCCTAGGCCCTACTTTTCCCCAGCCTGGCCCTGCTAGAAAGCCTGGAGAAAGAGCTCTGCTGCATTTCTCTGTATTTACAGTTTTAATAGAAGGAATACAAAATACCTTTTGGAAAAACATAGCTAGTTCAGGCTGCAGTGAGATAAGTAATAAAAATGCCTGTCATTAAACATGGTTAATGGATGTTCACGATAGGTAAGTAACCTACCAGCTTAATTTTGCAAATGTGTTTCACTATCAAAAATGTGATCGGAGATTGCCTGTAACAAATACTGAAAAAATCCCCTGCCTTAGTCCATACCCAGCTATAGCTGATTGCCCCCCATTTAGTGTAAAAGGATCTGTGTGTCTGTTTTCATAGCAATCCTGATTCTGTGCTAGCATCTCTGATCACAGCTCTCACAATTATTCTCAACAACCCTAAAAAAGCCTTTATGCCAAGAAAATTGCCAAGGTACCGAGAAGCAGCATCCTGAATATGCACAGCCAGGCTAAATATGATCCCTACTTGCATTTGCTAGTCGATTCAGATGCAGATTGTCATCTCCCATGACTTCAGCTTCTCAGGCTTAAACAGCTTCCAGGGCTACAGCTTGATCCTAGAGAACACAACGGACTGCACAGCCCTACTTCCAGTGAGGGGTTAGGCTGCTGCAGGCCTCTGAAAAACCAATCTTCACCTAAGCAACAGCATCGACCTGCTGCACACTTAGGTAACACTATGCTGGGCAGACAGTCTGGCATTGTGGCATGGCTGCCACGTGGCATCATTTCTGAGAACAAGACACTGTCTTAGCCTTCGAGTTCCATCTTAAAAAACACCTGAGCTCTCAGCCACAGTCCTATCCAAAATTCCCATTAATTCCATTTGCCTCTAAACTCCTTGGGCCCCACTCCAGCCAGATTCTCCACAATTTGCTCAATGCTAAATCTGCAAGCAACCCCTCTGTATTATTGCCTAGGTATTTCACAGTGCTCCGTGCACTAAAGGAACATGCTATGTCAGGTCCTAAATACAAGTACTACCTTCCATTTGAATGCTCATTTTTACATGCTTCCTTTCAGAATTATCTTTGATACACTGGTACCTCCTTATTACAGGTCTGTCACGAAAAGCATGACCCAGCTGTTGACATCACCTGTGTTTTCCTGTGTGCACAGTGATGCAAATCCATACACTGTAAATAATATATATTATAATAATTTATATATGCCCTTCAGACAATTATTCTGGGGGAAAGGGGAGAACACATCTAATTTTAAGAAATCCAGGGTAAAAGCTGTACATTGGGAAGAAAAATTGACCTTTAGGCATTGTCTTAAGTAGAAGAGGATTTAGCTAAGATTTAAAAGGCTCTACATCTTGTTATAAAAGGTCTTGTTTCAATCTTACATGGGACAATTTACAACAAGCACCAAATTAACAAATATTATTAAATCCTTTATGCTACACCAAAGTGTCCCTGTGCCTTAAGTGTTCTGTTTCAGTCCGCTTCATTGTGGCTCATGTGCATGAGTCAGCAGTTCATGGCACAAGGATCACCTTTGGACTTTCCTGCAGAGCTAATAACCCTCATCAAACAGCGTCCAAACTCCTCCAGGATCATGCGCTCCGCTGCAGCTTTTGACTTGCCCGTCTTCTCCGCTTGCTCTGCCTGCGCAAGAAGGCATTCGCAGGTTGCATCGGCCACCTCCTTGGTTACAAACGTAAAGGGCAGCCTGAAACAAAGAAAGATCCCCTTAGTCTCTGCAAAAACACACTCTGGTGGCTGGGCAACTTCTTAGTACACGGGCTGGTGAGATTTCATTTGTCCCATTGCTTCCAAGAGCCTTTAGACAACCTACAGGGAGTGAATAAGCCCCACTTAACAACAGGCAAATGAACTCGTGGGCCTTTATGCTTTGGTGCCTGCCTCCATTGATGGACATTTTGGAACAGTCATTGAAATGCCCAGGTATACAGAACCATTCTCCAGCTTCTACTTACACAGGTGGCTCAAGGATTGCATCCTCTCAGTAAATGGGACACTTGTACTTTGTGCTTTCAGTGAGCACACAGGCAATGAAGAGAAGACAATGCTTAGTTACAGCTAAGCTTGGCGTGCCCCAGGTCCCACAGAAAGCAGGAACAAAAAAGCTCTATTCACCTGACTGCTCCTGCTTCTACAGCTTACACAGACAAGATTCAAAGATGACAGGGGCATACCTGTCATGTACATCAAAAACCCCACATTAGAAACAACTTAAACATGTGCAGCATTAACTTACTTCCCACCACCACTGCTGAGTGCTGGTGTTGGCCTTGTCAGCAAATCTGAGATCTGAGAAGATAGCTTGGTCTTTGCAGCAGTCTGCTGCTGGACTCTAACTTCTGCAGCGTCTGCTAAATGCATCAACGTCTTCCTCTCTGGGCTCTCTTCAAAATTTTTACAGCCAATGCATTTGCATATGGAAGAACACATGATTTTTGCCTGAAAGAAACAAAACCCTATAAGAGACATTTTGCAACCTTAACCCCTTTTATGACAAGCCACAACAGAAAGGAGATCTTGTTTTAATCTTGTACCAATTAATCTCTAGAAGAAACCCCCAAGCAGTAATTTTCTCTCTAAATTCTTACCTCAAGCTGAGATGCTTTCACAGAATGTATACTTGAATCAAATAATAGAGCATAAAATGTAAATGAATGGTTTCCCACTCATCCCTTTCTTCACCAACCTCCAGTTTCCATGGGAATTTAGATGGTTAAGCTATGAGAGAAGTCAGTCTGCCACTGTCTCTACATCCACAGACTGATCAGTTAGCAGGTGAAGTAACAACTTTGCTTTCGACTTCCACAGACACGTTCTATCCCAGAGCATGTGTGGGATGCTGATTCAACTCCTCCTAAGTACTTGGTGCAGTAGATTTCTTTAGGAAATAGTGCTATTCAGTAAAAAACAAATTCAAGCCTGAGTCTAAAGTTGCTACATTGTTTAAAATTAAAATAACACAACAGCAGAGATGAAATTTTGCCATATAAATGGATTTCTATGTGAAAACTGCTGGGAGAAGAGGTAACATTATGGCAACAGAAAAGAAGAAAAAGCATTGTAGCAATGCAAATGAGACAAAGCAAGTCACTCCACTAAAGGGAAAAAGCTAGTATCTTTAAAATGAGACAATGTTTCATACCTCATAACATTCGCAGTAGTTTTTGAGACATCCCGAGCGCTTACAATTACACCCTTTGCTGTGTCTCCGATCTGACTCTCCTTCCTTTCCTTTCCCTATTTTGGGCTTGAAGGCTTCAGGGTTTCTGTCGAGGCAGGCCTGTCAATGCAGACCCAAAGCATCAGTCATTGCATGCAGGGAGCAGAATTTAGAGGTGCAATAAAAGAACGTAAGCCTTGCACATGTGGGAGGAGATCAGGGCATTATACACCCGCTCTGCCCCGCTCTGTAGCTTCAGGAGACATAAGCTAAACTGCTTTCATCCCAGGGGCGGGGAAGAGGTCCCTCACCTTTATTGCTTTTTGCCTATCATTTTCATGGTCCAGGTTGTTGTAGCAATTTGTACAGTTGCAGTTATTGCAGAATTCACCATTTGCAAAGCAATCACAGTACCTGAAACAGAAGATGCAGAAGGCATTTGTAAACATGACCATTACATTGGTGTTAGATGGCGGCAGCAGAAGTTCCTACTCTGGCGATAAGGGTAAGGGTCACCCTGTGCTTAACTCCACCTATACAAGTAGTACCAAGTTCATCCTCTAGCACAGGTCTAGCTGCTGTCTAAAGACACAGGTATAACTGAGGGTGTCCATCTGAGCTGATGTTCATACAGCACAGGTCCCCACAGTGGCAAGAGAAGCTAAGGACACTTTTTTCTAGGGTGACGCCTGGGTCACCCTACATACTAAAGGCCATCCTGCTGCAGCCACCTCACAGCCAGCTCCTGACCCACCAGTCCAAGCCAGCCCTCAGGAGCTCTCATGCAGCCAAAACAAAAGGCAAGCAATTGGAATGCCAGGTAACAGGCAAACTGACTAACACAGCAACAAGCATTTTTTTGTTAGTTTTGCCCATACGCTGTTCGCAGCTCTGAGCTGAGACAGAGTTCATCAAACAGGGAGGGAAGAATAGAAAAGGAATAACAATTGGTACATCTTGGAGGCTTTGAAGCACAGGTAACTAGGGGAGGGAACTGAGGATAAGACTGTAGTTATCAGAGGCTTTTTAAAGGGACAAGTATGTGAATAAAAAGCAGCAAAACATGGACAGGGAAAGCCAATCACATTGTCATGCCTCTGGTGCCTCTGACCAATCCCACAGATCTGACACATGGAAGTATCATATTCATCCCCAGCTCAAACATGGCTTTAGGCCACAACAAACTCTGTCATGTTTCAATGCTTCCAATACCACCTCCAGCTACAGTTAAAAACTAGTGATACTCTTTCACTTGCTTTTCAAATCCTGCTGGAGCATATATTCATTTTTAGGAGCCTAAACCCCTGTAAAACTGGCTTTCTGTGGCTTGCCCAGCTCAATGCTACAAGAACTAGATTAGGGTTCTCCTGGAGTCAACTACAAGCCTTCATCTGGCTGAATTGCATTTTGGTGATTTTTAGCATCTTAAATGGTCCTGGGGGCAAACTACATCAAAAACTTTTGCAATCTGTAACAGTTCTCTTTTCTGTCCTAAAATTCAGTAGTGGGATGGTCCTGGTTTCCAAAACAAACAGAACATCAATGAACAAATAACTGAGTTTACTTCTTCACAGAACAGGCTATGTGTCTACCTTCAACATGTATTTGAGAAAAAGAAGCTCCCCTTCCAGACAGGAAAAAGTTTTACTATTAAGAAAGCATCTTTGCTAGAGTGAATTAACCACTGGCTCTCCACCAATGCCTAGCCACTTAAAGATATAATGACAGCAATTTACAAGAAAAGTTTGTTTCGAAAGCATTCTGAAGGCGTGAAATATCACCGGTGATGCCACTGTTCTCCCAGAATTTCTAGTGCACTGTAGCATCAAAAACTAAAACAAGTGGAAAACTCCAAACATCTAACACATACTGCACACTATGAGGTAATATATGTATATATGTATGTAAAAAAAAAATGTAAAAAAATATATGTAAAAAAATCTGAAAAAACAGCTACACAACTTTCTGTTTGCCATGTCTTCTATACAAAAGACATAGAAGGAAGCACAGGACACACCTTCCCACCGAGAGGTGGGGTGCACTAACACAAAAAGAAACACAAGCTTAAAAGTTTAAACACACTTCTTAACTTGGGTTCAAATATCGTTACATCACTTCCCCTTTGAGTGCCACACCCCTGATTTCCTACTCATTGTCTAGGATTCAGGGAACCACAGATTAATTTCAGTATCTTCCATTACTGTCCCAAAAATATCGGTAAATTGACTTTGCCCCAATATGGAAACTGTACTCAGCTTAAAATGCTTTTATGTCAAATTTTTACGAATACATTGAACGGAACAGCAAAATATCTCATAAGGATACAAAAGACTCAGACCTATCAGTGAAGAATCACTTGTCTATCCAGTCCTTTAATAAGAGATACAAAGCCCACATTTTCTGAAGTATCTGAACCAGCATGGTATTACTGATGTGCTTCACCAAAGTATAGTAAATGCCCACTACTGATCCCATGGAACACCATTTCCCTCATTGTAACACCAAAGCAACTAGAGCTGCTGAGTGGAATGGCTTCACCACACAATAAGGCTGCAAAGTCAGACATTTCTAAAATGTTAGGGCCTGTATAGCTCACAGGAGTTGCAGAATTACACAGGCTCTGCAGCATCTCCACAGTTACCAACGGTAACCTTAAATTAGCATCTAGACATAAAATTTCTGACATACTTCGAAACATTATATTCTGATACTTGGCATACATTTGTGATGTTAAAGTCAAGGCTTAAAAAAAACCCCAGTAACCAAGCTGTACTTACAATTTCAAACACAGAGACTTAGTACAATTGCAAGGCTTCCTGGGGCGGTTAGCAGATTCAGAAGAAATTATTCTGTGGGGGGAAAGAGGGCATTTATATGTTTATACACATACTGTTTTGTCAGTTTCTTCCTATTCTAAATTTAAGTAAATAGCTCATAACGAAAAGTTCAAAAAAACCTTTATATACCCCTTGCATTATGTTTTTGGCTGACTGCATTTAGGTAACTGTTCTATATAGTCCTTTATACAGTGCCTTTCCAACCCAGAAAGGGCTGGATTATTTGCTGCAAACCTGGATGCATGCATGAAGTAGAAATTAGGATTAAAGCTAGAGGAAGCATCATAACTAAAAACTGGAGTTAGGGAAACCTTCCCTAAACCCCTCTAAATGCAGTGGGACTAGATCCAATCAAGGTCCGCACAACATGATTATGGTCTTTGCTTTTGTCCTAGTTGGAATTAGGAAAAAAAAACACCAAAAAAAGCAAAAAACCCCTCTAGAATAATGGGAAAGCAAGCCAAAAATGGTATTCAGTTTATCTATAAGTTTTATATTAGACACAGTCTCTAACTGCTCTTAAAACTCAGATTTTATGACACTAATCACTCCTGATGAGATTTGTTCCATCCGTATCCAGCAATTTCTGCATGTAATACCAGGGAGATTAAATCAAACCCGTTCACTTGAATGGCTGCATCTGAATTTGGGATTAGTTTGCATCATTTGAGGTTGCAGCAACAAAAAGCACCTTCATGTTCACCATTTCCAGCAAACAATAACAAAAAAGGCCTGTGCAGAACAGCTAAGCCTGCTGGATTGGCAAAGGGAAAATAATACGTTAGCTGTTCTTTCCATCCTTAAAGGAAAAATGCAAGACTGAAAAAACCCAAAGCCTCCTATCAGGATCAATTTCGCTATTTGGCTGAATTTCTGCATGTATCCAGTTCATATGTTGTCCAGTACTTCTCTCCAGTAATGTTGAGGAATAGTTGAGGCCTGTAGCTCCCAGGTGCTGATACAAAACAAAAAAAGTGAGCAACACAGAGCTTTCAGGTCAACTTCCTGCTACACGAGGTCAAAAACCAGGAAGAAAAACGCAGCTTTGATCAAGAGACTGGCTCGACTGTCAGAGAGATCCATGCCCTTCAGTGAGAGGTAATAGCCACACTACAGTATATTTGAGCCTCTTGAAAAATCCTTCAAACCAAACTGCAATACCTCACCTCCCATCCTTCCTTATAATAGGAATGAAAGAGGATGCTCATTCAAATGGTCTATTCCACGGGTTTGGGGTTGTTTTTCAAAACACTTACCCATTAAATGGCAGTCGTGCTTGGGACTGGATACTAGATGTCCCTGTGAAGCCAGTGTTGCTTGCTATAGATACATACGATGATTGTGGTAGCTAAGAAAACAAAAAGGTTAATGTGTGACATAAAAGAAATTAAGGATGTGTGGCTAGTCTTTTAATTAGCTTACTAGATACTCTTACATAAATAAGTTGCTTGTAAATACAGTTTTAGAGATTTATAGAACTTGAATCAAGTGGCAACCTCCTGCCTCCACACTTAACATAAAAACATTATTTTAGATTATATTTTCATTCTCAATTACGGTGTCATACATACAGAGTCATACAGACAACAGAGATAACACACAGAAATGTTTGGACCACAACTGGTTCCTGCTCCTAAAAACTTGTTAATTTTTCTCCTTCTTCTCCCAAGCAACCCTTCCCCTAATAGAGCAGGATCACTTCCTGCAAAAATTACTTAGTAGCTTCCTTTATATACAAGCCACTTAACATGGATTAAATAAAACTGAGCCATAGTTTGCATTCCAACTTCTCTTGCATACCTGAACCCACAGTGTATTTGTCACACTGAAAAACCCAAACTTCTTAAGAACCTGCCAAACGACACTGTTCTGGGCTTTCTTCTTTAGTACTACCTACATGCAGCTGTTTTCTCCTGCTGGGACAGATTCTGGAGACAGATATGGATGTTCTGGGGCCAGGCAAAAGGGGACTGACTGATTGTGACCCGAACACAAAACCTCAGAGCAGAGGTCCAGCAAATGCTATTAGTTAAAGTAAAATTTGTAGAAGTAGAATGGAAGGACACAGTAACAGGCTTCAGGGTCAAACTGCAACTGTGACAAAACCAGAAGAGAACCAGAAAGGAGGCTGCTACCAGTAAGGCCATGAGCTATCAGAGGCCTTGTTTATACAAACTGACTCATCAGCCTTCAGCAGAACGTTTCCTTTATTTTACTTTTCATACTCAATATTGGCCAGATCCTGGCAAAGAGCAAAATCTAATCCCTGCATTGGTGTGACTGGTACCACCTGTTTCTGACCCCTGCCAATGCGTTAGCATTAACTAACACCATTTTGTAATGCAAGCAGCCACTCTCTGTGACCAAGTGGGTCACATATACACTCTCTTTCTCCTCATTATCAGGCTCTGAAGGTCCTGTGAACCAAGTAGACAAAGCAATAGGATTTTTTTCTTCCTTTCACTACAGGTCTCAAGAATCCTGGGCACCAGGCCAGTACCTCTCTTCCTTTCTGGCTGTGAATGTCTCAGACACCCTTCCAGGTGGTCAGGATGACTGCCACAGAAGAGGGAAGTGTAACAGTACACAGAACATAGTCTATAAAATCAAGCAGTTACAAGTGCTAAGTGGGTAATTTGGATCGGACCTGCTGCTGAGACCCACAAGCACAGAGTGGCCACGGTCACCTCCACTGACATCCGCTTCCTCTGAGGGCTGAGTGACTAGAATTCTTCTGTATGATTTTTGAGTTTAGATCATGACTGTTAAATTGATGAAGCAAGTTGTGCATCAAGATCTGAGCCAATCTGCAGGGGGTCTAGGTGATTAGAAATTTTAAGTTGAGATCTAGGTGATTAGAACCATAAGTATTATATTTGTATTACAAATTCTGTACTATGGTATTCATAATTGCGCTGCACTGATTCTGTTTATAGAAATCCTGTGCTATTCCAATTATAAATTCTATGCTACGCTAATAAAATCCTGTTGAGAAAATAAACCTTTAATTGTAACTATGATTTAGTGCCATCGTCATTCTGCCAGGGGTCCCTAAAAGAAACTGTCTCCTTAGTGTCAGGTGACAGGGAGCTAGAACCTTTAAGGGGAAGGCAGTGTGTCCCACAATAGCAGCACATCTCTGGGTAACACCATACCTGTGTGACATACTGAGCTGGAAGGACGGCATACCCGACATTCCCCGTGCCAGGTGCTGGTGCCAGCACAGTTCCTGGTGGGAGGTTGGTGAGGTTGGGCTGTATCTGTGGCAGTGGAGTGGCTGGCATAATAAGTCTTTGTTGGGGCTGACTAGTAGTAACTATCTGTGAAGCTGAGTTGATTGGTTTGGGCACCACCTGGAGAGAGAAGAGGTCTTCATGAAATCAGTGTCTCAGTGATTCAAAATGCGCTTTTATTAATAGAACATTTCATTACAGAGCTGGAGCCAGACTTTTTTCCACCCAGCTAAAAAAAGTTAGGAATATGCATTTTACCATTTAGCTCACCTGTTTCACAGTCTGTGCTGGTACTATGGGAACTGACATACGCACTGGAGTTGCGTTCACCACCACTGGCTTCGCTAGTGTCAAGAAACAACATCACATTAACATGTATTATTCACTGCAAGTCACAATTCAGTCCTTCACATGTGCATAACGCAGAGGTGGTGTAAAGAACGCCCTTGTAAACAGGTATTTGACACAAGAGCCTGCACACACATTTCACAGCAATGGCTTAAAAAATAGCCTGGGCGCAGACCTCCTCTGGACACTGGATTTCTCTTACATTCCTTTTCCCTTTGAAATCTTTTATTCCTTCACAGCTCTGAAAAGCAAGGACAGAAACCAGCAGAAGCATCTGGCACTTCTAAAGTGCACGGAAATTTCATGCACTTTAGAAAAGTGCACTTCCAATTTACATGGAAAGATCTTCATGTTACAGAAGTTTTGGCTATAAGTTTGTGGGCTGTCCTGCCATCACACTTTTCATACAGAGGATCTGGGAGTTGCCATGAGTAATCCACAATCTGGTAAACTAGGGAAAAACAACTTAAAAATGCTCCAAGAATTCAGGCCCAACTACAGAGCAATTTGACACAAAGGAGCATTTCCACACACAAACTGTAAGTAACAGCAAAATATGGCATTTATAGGAGTCTTACCACAAAACCAAGTACATCTGGCAGTCTTCAGAAATTTCTCTTATGTATTCATTTTAATCCTTACAAAACAAACATGAAAAAAAAAAAACAATAAAAGCTTCAGACAATACATTAACGCCAGCACTTACCCTGTTGAAGAGGCTGAGTATTCGTACTGGGATTTTGACTGGCCGATTGGGTTGAACTACTGGCTGTTGTGGCAGTAACAAGTCTGACATAATGGAACTTGCTTCCAGGTACCTGAATCTGCTGAACATTGGGTGCAGTTGCCAAAGGAATAATTGTCTTAAATTGAGATGTACCCACTCCTCCTACAGTTATGGTCTGCACCGCTGATTTCACAGCCTGTTAAGCCAACACAGACAGCATGAAGTTACTTGTACACAGGCAGAAAGAACAAGAACATGAGCACATTTATTCCTCAATTTGTTAGTGAGCAACTCTACCATAACATTCATATCCCTGAGAGGGAAGTCAATTACCCCCATTTTTGCTTTCAAAAGTAGAACAGATGTAAAGAGATTAAATGCCTCTCAACAGCTCAAACTCAGTTCCATTTTCAGTGCTCTATACCAAACACCACAGTAAACTAATATTTACATATGTGGGGTGACTCAGTCCACTTGCCTAGATATAATCTCTGCCAAAACTATTTCAGGTGAGTACACAGAACATTGCTCAGTTTGTATTCCAAAATCAAGCAACAACCAAACCTAAAAATATTCCTACTAATAAAAGCACATGGTAAGAACTTGCAGAACTCTTTGTGCTGGACTGCAGCATGATTTATCTGTGTGTACAGATACATTCTGTTAAGACAGTTTGTGATTAATACATAGAAATCACTATGCAACCCTTGGGAAGAAAATGGAACAGAGTCCATAAACTGGCAGACATCAGAAAGAGAATACAAGCGGAGAAATGAAAGAAGCAGGAACAATGAGGAGTAGCAAAACAAATTCATCAAGAAAAAAGGCAAAATGGTGAAAGGGAGCTCAGCAGACCTGTGCTACCTCACAGTTGGAGTATTGGTATATCTGGAATTTGAAAAAGACTTCATCTTTCCAAATTTTCTCAAGCTACAAACTAATAACAAATTTTTATTTTATTTATACACATTCATAAGCCTATTGGTTTGACAACAGCCTCTTTTTCCAGCCTTGTTTGACCTCAAATCTTGATTTATTCCCCTTTTTTTCTCCTTCCATCTAACTTCTTCTGGAGTTCAGCTTTTTATTCTCAGTATCTTTTAATATGATATTAAACATGTTGTCCTTAAGTTTTACTATTAAATTTGATTGGTAGTATGATGCGAATTCTTATGAGAACATTTTCCCAGTTCCCCAGCTTTCAGCAACTACACAATTGATATCTCAGTTTGCACACATTTCACTGGAAATATAAGCCTGGTCTTTTCAAAGGTGTTTTCTTGGGATTTCGTTTGGTTTGGTTTCGGTTTGTTGTTAATACATTGAAACTGTAACAAGCCAGAGCAATTCAAAACAAGTACTGCCTGCAAGCACAGTCGCAAAGTGTTACCAAAGGGAGACCAGTATGGGCAAAGTTCTCTCTAGCTCTCAAATTAGAGGCTGCCATACAAGGACAATTGGGAAAATCCTAAGATTCAAGTGAGAGTTCTTCTAAAGGCATGTTCTTGAACCCAGTGCAGACAGGTGAAACTCTTGTGTCAGACACATTGGGATCAGAACCCAGTATGTATACCCCACAGACATCTCCACTTAGGGTGCTTGCAGTACAGTGACAACCTTTTAATGACTGTATCAAAAGAAAGTTTTGCCAGTTTTAAACTGGGGAAAAAAAGTAAAATTCAAATCTCGATGGTATCCACATCCCCATATCAGCATTCCAGTTGTCACCTGTATCAGTAAGATGAGGTTGGCAAAGTCTGTCTGAGTCTCTGGTCTCATGATGTACATGCAATTGGGTCCGTTACCTCCTCTACCCGCACTCTGGTTATTTACTGACATACACATCCCTTCATGTTCACCAAAACAGGAATTATACCGAAAAAAACTCACCTAAGATTACAAAACAGGAAAACAGTAACAGCTGCAGTTTGTAAGAAAGGTCAGTTTTGTCTTGTGATTTATCAGTGCAAATCAATTTATAAAAGCTATTATGGAAAACCTTATTTTTCTAGAAATGAGACATAGGTAATGAATAATGTCTAGTTCTGTAGGTTTCAGACCATGGCGTCTTGCTTATGCAGACCTCTACCACAGGAATATGAACTCAATTGTTGCAAACCTCGGAAACACTTGGAAAGTAGCCCTAGTCAGTGGCAGAGAAACACTGGCCGAAGAGAGAGAACCAACCAAAAAACTCCTGCCCGTGTCATTGGGAGTTCTTCAGACGACTTGGGAGATTCAATACACAGAGACAAGAACTTTGACCAAGTGGGGCTTTCCAGGCTGGAAAGCTGCTAACAGCATGCCCTTGAACGGGCTTGCAACGGTTTGCACCCCTCAACTGACGAAGTCTGTGCTCCCCCAGGGCAGTTCTTTTCCCACTTCTTAAGCAAACACCATTACAAGAACACCTTCAGACTGACCACCGCCAATCTGCCATCCAATAATCCGGTTTCCAGCAAGCAATGACGCAGACACACTAGAAGACAAAGGAAAGTCAGTGTGTACCTGGGTGGTTGTGTGGTTGACTATAGCCTTCCCAGGGGAGGAGGGTGCTGACTGCTGCACTGTGAGGATCTGCTGTCCTAACGCTACATTCAGTGGGACGCCCACCGTCTTCTGGGGGGAGTTGGGAGGCTGGGAGGCCACTGACACCACTGTTAGCTGCTTGGCGAAACAAAGAAGCAGTTTAAATCCCTGCACAGGGTGCAGGACCCTGTACATACACATTCCCCTCCTCATAAAGTACAGCTCTCCACCACGTCACAGAGCTCCTTCTCTGAACAACGGCACTGTATTTAATCTCAAATCACATGGGTCCAACTGCAACAATAGCAAATAGGCCCCACAGAAACTTGAAGGCATCCCTGGTTTTCAGCACCAAAAGGCTCCTGCAGAAACCTACCACAGCATCTGGATTTCCCAAGTAACAGCTTTGTAACTGGTACATCATAAATAGAAATTTTGAAGAAGAGCTGTGGAAAAAAAAAATCTCACCTTATACTACCGATTCAGTCAAACTATTAGAACATCAGTATTTTCAAATCTATGTTCCAGATTCCCACAGAGATCCAGTCTTCTGACCATATTTCTGTGGAGTACAATGTTTGAATACTCTGTTCTATACAGACACACCCCTCCAAAGGCAGGGTTTCTACTTTTTTTCTAAACTTCCTTACAATTTAAGAAAAATCCCAGTTACCGAGTTTGCTTTTAAAAGACACTCAGAATTACTTATGTACAGTAAATTCAACACGTAACCCTAAGGAGTCTTTTTACATTCACTGTTAATTTTAATTCTACAGTTGGGTTTTTTTTAACTCCTTCTTCATGTTGCTCCCCTTACTAATAATTGCCAAACACAAGTCTTTCGCTCCATTTGTTATTAAAGCACAGACAAACCAAAAGAATTCTTTATTCTTACTCTTTATGTGTGATACTTAGTTTGTATGCACTATGCCTCTTGTTCCCTTCCTTTCTCCAGCAATACTCCCCTTTTCAAAATAATTTCATCAAATCTTAAACACCAGTGTTGTCTTGACCTCTACCAATCTCTAGCTCTGTATCTGTCACGGACCATTGCATATCTCATTTACATCAGGAGTGATCAGGGAAGACTAAACTTCCAGTGCAGTAGCAGGCTGTGGTTAATAAGTGCCGACCCATTAATATTATCAAGGTCTCCTCTTAAACAGCTGGTTGATGTTTTATGAAGGCATTAAAAATAGTCTGAATGCTTGGCTAAGAGGGAACAGATGCTCTCAGAATGCTTAGGGAATGGCAAAAAATGGCAGGAATGGGAAACTAATGCAGTAATGCATTTTTATTTAAGACCACAGTATGGGAGCCAATTGCAAAAAATCTAACTCAGGGCATTACCATAGAGCATTGTGATGCACAATGGAGACTCTGGAGATATTTTTATGGACTCTGGAGATATGTTTATTATCTCTGGAGAGATAATAAACAGCTTGTAGCAAAGACACAGAGAGCTCCATTCAGACTCTGTGCAGGAGGGGTAGAAGGCTGCAGCCAGAACAGGTCCTTACCTTATTAGGGGATTTGAGAGGTGAGATAGCTATTTTATTCGGTGTCTGTTGTGTGGTACTCAAAGTTGATCCAATGACTCCGCTCTCAGAGATCGTTATTGTCTTTGGTGGTGTCCCTGGAGCAGACTGGGAAAAAACCCTACCTACAAACAATGAAGATACCATCAGCTCCAGTTATCCCTGTTCACATTGACTACTAAAGCAAAGTTTTCTCTGCGTCTTGTGCAATTGATCCCTACTTCTGAGAGTGTACGACCTGATACAAAGGAATTGGCGTCCTTTAAGTTAGATTTAGCATCAAAGAAGAAAATAATTGGCATTATTGCAAATAAAATGACTGTCACTCAGTCTTAAAAAGTGCCAGAATGTACACTGAGCTTTCTCAGACATTCAGCTGCAAATTCTTTATAGCCAGGACAGCATCCTGAGCTTCAATACACCTCCACTACACACAAACACCCAGCCAGCTGGTAGTTTCCTAGGAAGCCCGTGGCATGCTGCCAATGTATGGAGAAACTGAGCATCTGTGGGGGACTACTTCCTTTTAAAACCTCAGCCATCAAAAATGAGCTGTAACAAAGAAAAAAGGGTGTTTGGTCTGTCTACACTGAACTCTAAGGTTTTTGATTTCTCCCTTCTGTGCTGATGGTTGCTTCTTTCATTGCCCAACAGAACATGTGACACACATGTGAAAACAAGGGTGGTAGCGTGAGTTTTTATGATGCCAAAGAACAGTAAACATCAAAACCAGCAGCGCCAAATCATGAAATCAGCCTCAGGAATATTGCAAAACTCTCATAATGGAAAACAGATAATTTTTTTTCATACTTTGTATGTTTCTTTCCAAAAGAGCGCTCGATCACTGAGCTTTCCTCTGCTGCACTTTAGTTCAGATTCATTTTTGTCACAGTTTGTTTGTCACCCATTCCCTTCTACTACTTTTATAAAAATAAGAAACAAACACACACCAGCATAACTTTTCCATCCAAAATCAAGTGGCATAACAATTAAAGTCAACTGGAACTAACAAGAAAAAGCACTGCTCTCATGGAAACCTGACTTCTTCTGAGGCCTATGTGCTCTAAAATACCCACTTTTGTGCAGTCTAACTAGCAGCACAGATAGTTGCCAGCAGCTGCTAAAGCCACGTGCAACCTGAAGAATGTCAGTCAGTGAGAATTTTATCATCTACAGTTTTCAGTGCTTTGAGTTAATTTTCCTGGTGATAGTTTTCCCTTTCTCACTACATCTCCTCTGCACCCTTTGGCATCAGCTTCCTGAATGAAATCTGGTTACTTATATTGACAAGTCTTGCAAATTTACAACTTCAGCCTTAGTTTGTGGGAATTCCCAGGCAATTAAAAATATTTATCAGATTCATGAAAACATGCAAACAAAATTGAAACTCAAAACACATATGTTACACCTTCCCTAAAATGATGCCAGCCTCTCAATGCTGGCAAGCTGTGCTGGCTGTTCGGAACGGTGAGAGGAAAGGCAGATGTTTAAAGAGTTCCCTCTCAATTAGTGAAGCATCTTCACCTTCCACTGATGTTTTTCTCACAGGCTCAGGTACAGGTACTCTTGATTTTCCAAAATATTGACCTAAAAACTGTAAGTTGTTTTTAATGTTTTTCAGTTGTTTTTTTGTTTGTTTGGATTTTGTTTAGTTTTTTAACATTCAAACTGCTTGATTCAAATATTTAAACTGGCATAGCAATTTTCTTATTCACAGGTCTGTATATTTGGTAGGGAATTATTTGAGGAAGGGGACAAATTGCTGAGTGGGGAAGGGAATCCCTGTTTCACCTGAAACACTGGTCAGACTGCAGACAGCCTGACAACGCAAGGAAAAGATTATGTTTCAGTTACGTGCCATTCACTTGTAGCTATCAGAGTTTTGAATACAGGAGACAGTTGCATACTTTTTAAAACCAGTTCAAGTCTCAGTTCTGTAAAGACTTAACAAATTTTTAAAATATATCTTTAAACAATATATTTGTTTAAAGATTTTAGACCTACTTGGGTTGGTCAATCTGGAAGCAGTTAAAGACATCCTTCAAAGCTGTGAAGACAACTCTGGCTTCCTACATTTGTCCTTTTCAGATAATTTATGTGTCTAGGATGTTTGCATACCTGCTATGACACATTTAACAACAGAGCCATTGGTTTCACTGCCATAATAAACAAACACTGTGGGTTTTTTCTTTCATTTTGGTGGTACCTTTGTTATTGTTCTATGGTTGGTTAGGGTTTTTTTTAAGATTCATAGATTTTTTTTTCCAAAGAGAAAAATAATTTCTTATTTGCCTTAATTACTCTCTTAGATGCTTCTGCAATGCTTATTTCAAAAGCAGGTGAGCACTTAACAGAAACCACACAGCTTTATTCACCTTTTCCACTCAAACATTTTTCCTGTTACTTGAATGTATTACATTTAAGTCCAACTGTAAGCAGATTAAAGTAATACAACAGCAAATGTCTCCTTTTCCCCCCTGTGTGTTTATATAATGTTTCTACAATTACTTTCTGTTTAGCGAGTAGTCTTTTCTGTGGCTCTGGGATATTTTTTTCCTCCTCTCCAAAATCCATAAAGTAAAAGCATCTGGCAGTAAAAGCGACTCTGCAATTACAAAAATTATTCTAAATGAGCTAAGTGTAAAGGTATCAACATCGGCATTTATCTGCTTCTACCCACAAAATGTTCTGATCTCTTTTTTTCCATTGCTTGAGGTACTTTGACAGAAACTACAGTAAAATAGTTGAGACAAAAAAATTTCTACGATCACCACCTCTTTGAACAGCCTTCAAAAAAAGGTAAAGCAAAACAAGTCAAAGTAGTACAACCTGCAATGACTGGTGACACTTGAGTGGTCTGCCCTGTAACAGCTTTGCTATTGATTGGTTTTGCAAATATCAGCTTGGTGATCACCGGGCCAGAAGTTGGGGTTCGGGTCTTCTTCGCAATCTAAAAGATGGAGGAAAAAAGATCTAAAGTAACTTGAGCATTTTGGATCTAAATCACCGTATTGTTAAGTACATTAAAAAATAAAAAGGGCAATACTCGCACGCATAATTAGAAGAATAACTGCTCATGTTGCATTTCATCTCCGTTTCTCCCTATGGAAAGAGCTTGGATATTATCCATGACACTTCAGAAAGCCAGCTACCAAAGCAGGATAGCCAAATCCCTTACAGCTTTTTCATAAGGTATCTCCCTGTACCTCATCTTCAAGATGCAAAAATTATTTCTTACATGCTGTTGGTCTACATAAAAATATGAAAGTTAAATGTACAACTCTCAATATTTGAACCTTTAAATGAAGTTACTTCTTTCTCAGCCAACCAGGACAAAACTTGTCCTCCACTACTGCTCTGAAACATCTCTTGAGCTATTCTGACATAGAAGCACACTTTTATTTTGCAAGTAGGGAAACCACCTTCTGCAACAGTTCCCCAGAAGTACATGGATTATGAGTCTCTGAAAGTTTTGGGTAGACACTAGTCAAGAATAAATCAGTTGGCTACCTTCAGGTACAAGGGGATATTTTTCCCTTCTGTGATCCAGTCTCCTGAAACACAGCTGGACCAAGAACATGTACGTGCCATTTGATGACAGATCCCCTCAACCTGAAATCTTTCTAAGCAGGGTTTTATAGTCTTGAAAGTCTTGAAGATGACTTTTCCCCTTTTCCACACTGACAGGAGTTAACTGCCTGATATATTTATTCTAATAGTTCTAACACACCAGCACCCAGGCAGTGAAGACTTCAATTTAAAAGCTGACTTTTTTCAAAAGTTTTTAACCTGTTGGCTGCAGAGGCTGCCAACAGATGTGGACTACTGCTAAGATCTGCCCTGAGTCCATGTGACCATGCTGCAAGGCATTACTGGAGCAGGCACATCCTGCCTCTCCTCCACCACACACCCCCAGGTACATCCTGTGGGCACTTAGCCACCAGCTCCAGCAATATCAGAGGGGCATGACATTGGCATCCGTGCGGGGAGCCACCTCCCAAAGGCACAGAACCACCTTTATTACTCAAGTAGCTGACTGGAGAAATCTCACTGATGTGTAATCTCACTGTCAGAGAAGACAGCTACTTTTAACAGCCTGAGAAAGTTAGGAATGCTTAAAGGAAGCAATTGCGTAGCCTGGATGTTACGGTTTCCTACCCAAAACAGTATCTATAGAATTTGTTGATGGAAAACAATTTTTTTTACAGTCAAGTAATGCCAGGAGTTTTGAAGTATTCAGTAGCACATCATGAATTCCTCAACTGCTCCACAATGAGCACACGTGAGGCTGCTTGCGCTCCCAGCAGCACACCCATGGCACAACCAAGGAAGCCAGAGCTGCCCACTGCTATGGCACTGGAGCCCCCCAGCCTGCCATGGAAAGCGATCAACACCTCTGGGTGCCTGAGCGATGCCCAGCCAAGGGAAGGCAGCAGTGAGCAGCTCTGACATCAGGCACAAGTAGAGAACAGGCCCCAGTTAAAGGAAGCCATGTGCTACTCCACAGTTACAGCACAAGTATTCCTCATAGTCAGCATCCAGCTCAGACCAAACATGCTGCTTCCAAGGCACATCAACTGCTTTTATAGGAGACATACAATTGCCAAGGCTTAAAACCAAACAGAAGAAATAAACCTGCACTTTTTGGAGATATATTAACTAAAACTTTAAAATATGAGTTGTTTGAAGAAGGAAGCTTCATTCACGGCCCTGTTCACAAACTTAACTCAAAGTCATTTAACATTTCAAGAATTCAGTTCTTTTAGCACATACACAGCTGATAGATGAGCAGGCATTTTATCCGTAATTTATTTTTTTTTAATTTGCACACATTTTAATTTATGATAAATTCCATACATTTCATCTGCTTGATTTGAGATTTCTGTTCTGCTTAAACTAATCTTACTCTGCCATAAGGTATTATTGCAACTCAATTGCTAGTGCTGTTACTCTCTGAACTGAGAGCAAAGCCTGGCTCAGAACATGATCAACATCCAGCAGGAAGAGCCAGCTCTGGAAACATCAGTTGTTTCCCAGTAACAGTCAATAAGTGTGCTTAAATGACTAGCATAAATACATGTAAAGTACTAGCTACCATTAAGATGAAGTATTACAGAAAAAACCTTAAAAATCCCCAAACGAGGGCAGGTCAACACAAGTAGCCCTGATTCCCTCATACTCAACTTGCAGTATCTTCCTCAGACAAATCTGCCCCTGCTTTTTGGGTGAATTGTTTTTCTACAAAGACGGACTAATAAATAAGCAAATACCCTCAGGGCTTAGGAAACATAACAAGACTCAAACATGTTTGGTTATACGTGAGGAACAGCACTTCTGCCTTTACCTGCTGCCAAGTGAGGCTTTCTGAGGTTTTGCCACCAGAGCTGATAACCCCAGCCACCTTTGAGAAGCTTCTACGTCAGTGAGAAACTCACTACACATTTCAGTGAAGAGTGAAGAAGCCAGGGGAAATAATTAAGATGACTGCCCCTTTGATACTCAGAAAGAGCAAGTTTTCTGGAGCCCTCTGCCATTACCTATACTAATCACAAGAAGCTTAACATTATTCCCCCGCCTATGTAAGCTAAGCATGGCCTCTCCAAGTTTCTTTGAATTAGACTGCAAAATTATTTCCTGGGGCAACACGCTGTCCCGTAAGAATATTATTATATTTACACACCAACCTTTTTTTCCCCTACAGAAGTAAAAAGATTTATTTGCAGGCAACTTGCTTTAAGTGGTCAATTTATGTCTTCCTAAGCATTCTCCACTGAAGATGAACTAGCAAGTTTATACAGCTGGACTCTGTTTTTGGTTGTCAAATTGTGTTCTATTCATACAGAAACAGGCACGCCCATACCTCACATTTACTGCTGGATACCTGCACGGTCAGCTACCACAAAGGAGCTACTATATTATAAATACCCTCCCGAGATGATCTATCAGGAGCTTGTCCATGTAGGCACCCTCTATGTAATTTATATTTGGCATAATATGAAAAATCAGGGACTTCAGAAATAGAAAAAGAGAACAGCATACTTCAGAGAAGATGGAGAAGCTGAGCTAGGAGTGGGAATTTGAGGTTAGGGAGTGCACAAGGTCACTTTCCCATGATGAGACGAAGCCACAACGATGGCTTAGCAGTTGCCTTGCCACGGCAGCAATGATGCTATGGAGACGTCGACGTAACAGCTAAAACCAGGGTCAGTTATTGCATCAAGCCAAGTTCAAGTCAGACCAGTTTAATGATAGCCATAGTGATGTGCTTGGACATCTGGTTCAGAGTCAAGTGCAAGGCCAAACTCCTGCTTAGTGCAGATTAAAGTAGTAATACCAGCAGGCACATCACTGCTTTCAAGCCTCTATGGAGGTAGGAGCCACGGACTGAAAGCGGATGCACTTGTCCAGTAGTTTTTTCCACATGTCCTTGGCAATAGTTTCAACTAAATCAGGACAAGTTCCCAAGAGACAGTAATTAACCTCTGGATATAGATGAGGTCAAAGGTCCCACCACACTTTAAACCTCACAGGCTCATACCTCTAGAGCTATAAACAGAGAAGGAACGAAATTCCAAGAAACTTTTTGCTGAACTCTACCAATTACTTCTCAAGTGCTGACATCTCAACTGCCAAAATTAGACTACGGCAAGGCTAATTGAGTTTCTCTAATGATATGCAAAGCCTCTATGATAGTGACAATGTAACAAGAACTGATGAGAGCTCTTTGTCATCTAATCTTTAACCGATCCACATTTCTGCACTAAGTCAAAGTACTGTGTTGTCTTCTATCTGAAATACCTGATTCACAAAGCCCCAGGAGACAAGTTACACAAGACCCTTGGGAAGGCAGGGAGGCATTCGCAGTCTCCTTTTCCAGTCACTGAAAAGTTAAAGGGCTTGTTCAGGATGATAGGGTAAACGCAGGACTTCATTTTCTAAGCCAAGGACTCCAGGTCCAAGTTATATCCCCTATTGTTATGGTAGAATAGACCATTAATGTCTCACCCAGCCTCATTTATGACTCTGATACTTTAGTGATTTTCTACAGGGAAAAGCACTGTCTGTGAAGTGCTACCATAATCATCTTCCCTGCAGTATCAGGTACTAACACTGCCTTCTTGCTTTTCATTTCTACTTCTCTCTCTCCTTATAGGAAAAAAGGAATGTCAGGTGCTAACAATTCGACCTGTAGGGCAAATGGAAGCAATGATTTAACAAAAAGAGACCCAAACCCCCCAAATTTACTCAAACTGCAATTAACTACATTTATAAATGGATGCAAGTCCATTTGTAAGAGTTTCTATCAAGGAACCTGTAGAATTTCTAATGACAAACAGCAGAGGTCAAGGGTCAAGTCACTGTATTTCAGTCAGTGATAGCACAGGTCACCTCATGAAACAAAAACCACATCACGGCTCAGTCATTCTTCTCAGTTTCCTGTATCTGTCACTTGACAGAGAATAACTGAAGTCAAGTAACAGGAACCAACCCACTCCTAAACGTTCCTATGCTGAGTCAAGAGCAGAGATTTTTACGAAGGCTACAGTGAGAACCATTTCTGTACATTGATTGTTAACTATAAGTCCCTTGAGAAAATTTATGTTTCAAACAGCCATTATTAAACCTGTTTCCACAGGTATGATGTAGCAAAAAAAGAGAAAATAGAAATTGTGCAGGAACCATCTGCAGCTTAAAAAAAACTTGGGAGTTGTTCACATTTGCTTGCCACAAAATACCAGTCAGGAAACATTCAGCAAACAAAACACTTTAAGCTTTGTCATTTTTCATGTGCAGCTGATTATTTTTATTAGGATACTTGGGTTTTAATGTCTTACTTCATTTAGAAACAAAAATAAATATTTTTTCCACCATAACTTGCAATGATGTCTACTTTTCCTTCACTTCAACAGGTCTTATTTCTGTCTCACTGCCAAAAAGAACAAAGTCACTCATATTTAGTTCTGTCCTACTCCAGATGAAGATCAGATCCTTTGAGTCATAAGCTAAGTCTTTCTAACACATTTTCGGATCCAAGCAGATTCTCTGTGGTTTCAAATATCTCTTAATCCATGACAGAGACTGGGAATAAGACCTTGAGGTGTTCTCTTATGATAGTGTCTAGTCTATCATAATCTACTGACTTGCTTAACTAGAGTTGAGGCAGACAAGATATACCTTTCTGTCCTTTTTCAGATGCTGGAAGCTTTTTTCAGAGAGTTTATTTAAACAAACTAAATGTGATAGGCAGAAGCCATTATTTCCTAAGAAATGTACACTTTGAATGAAGAACAACATGCACACAGAGTTCAATTTAGCCTTCCCAAAAGTATGTGGTATTTATTTTAATTAAATGAAAATAATGAGAAAATTATCTTCATTTTACTGAATAGTTCACTTTCTCTGAGAAAAATCCTAGAATTCTAGACAGTAGCTAGAGGCAAACAGCATATAATGGTAAACGCATCCACAGATGAAAGCATGGGCTACGAGCAGCATTGTATTTTTTAATACAAAGAATAAATGCAAATGCTGAAAACAACAGTGTGTCAATCAGCGCAGGAAACAGACAACAACAGCAGCAACAAAACTGGTTTAAAGACGTTTCATCAGCATAACTCACTTTACCTGTACTGTTTTTACTTGCTGAGACTGCAAGACAGAGGGCTGGACCGTAGTGTTTATCAGCTGACTTCCCTGCGTCAGAGCTGAGACACCAACAACAGGTTTCACTTCTGACCGACCTCCAATAACAACTTTGATCTGCTGGCCTTGTACCTTGGAGTCTCCGCCTTGGGCTTGGGACACGGTCTTCTGTGACTGTGGGAGTTGGCTGTGGGGTAATGCTAAAACAATAGGTTGGCCAGACTTGCCCAAAGTTGTTACAATAAGCTTTTGACCATCTGGTTTAATACTCTGATTGCCTATTTTAATGTCGGTGGTCTTGTTCAGGATAATTTGATTGGCTGATATAGTGACGGGGGTCTGAGCACCAAGTTTATGGAGGCCACTGGGAAAGGTGAGCTTTGCAGCTGCGTTCACATCAGGCATCGGGGTCGTGGTGTTCACTGTCGCATCGCCCGAGTGGCTGCTGGGGGCAGTGACCGATTCCGTGGTGACTGTGACCGTAGTCGTAGCTGAGGAGTCACTGGTGGAGCTTATGTTCACTATTTCTTCCAGTTCCGTTTCCATGGGAATAGAGTCTCCCATCGGCGACGACACAATAACTGCCTCGATGCCATCATCTTCCACCAGAGTGATGCCTGTGTCCATTATTTCCTCGGGGAGCAAGCTGTTGACTTCGGCTGAAACCACCTCCATTTTAGTAGCAGTGGCAGTGATGACCAGAGCAGGTACTGCAACATTTTAAAAAGTTATTGGTTTCCAGAAAACACACATTATCAAAGCTCTATAAATAATATTACCAAAGAAGAAAACACCACAGAATTTTTTCACAGTACTGTGCATGCATGAGAGCGACATCATGGAAACAAATTGTTATCAAAATGTAACACATTAAGCTGAACTTACTCTCAGTAATAACTTAGGCCAAAGCTTTACAACATCAAGTCAAATCAAGGCACTGACTCGGTGCAGATTACCAGTCCACTCCTGACAACACAGTACACAAAGAAGCAGTGTTTCTCCCCAAAGATATGGACACAGACATTTAAACTTGCTGAAGCATAAAGAGGTAAACAGCTTTAAAAAAAAAATCCAACAGATGATGTCTTCTCTCATACCTGCCATCATTGATTAGCAGGGTATCTTGCCTCAAGAGACTTGTTATCCATACCAGAAATAACATTTTTGCCAAATTTTCATTTTGGAAATCTCAGAGAAACAAATGGCTGTTTAGTGACAGACTTTAACAACACCACAAGCTCAGTCAGCAGCCCACTTACCTCAGGACCAAGCCAAAGCCATGCATTTCCAAGATGAACGGATAATCCCTCAATGCTCACTATGAAAAGAGTAGCTCAGTAATTTTTTTCCTCCTCAGTACTCACCAGAAAACACAATGCCCAAATTTAAGACTAATTTGAAAGGTGTTTTAACACAAAACAAAGAACACTCTATATGAAAGAAAATGGAATTTTTTAAGCTCCCTGGTAAGAGCGACCAATTTATGTATTAAAGAAAGACTAGTGAGATTCAAAGCCAGCATAACTTCCCACTTGAAAAGCCTTAAAGACACTGCTGGAAATGGTCACATCTACCATTCCCACTAAAGCTGTATCACTGTCAGAGTCTGAAAATAGAGCAGCTTAATTAAGGCATTTTCCCCACTTGCTGACCCCATGAGCACACTTATGCACTGGATGGGTGATCATACCACATGGGTGTGTGTACATACTCCCGAGTACTCATTATAAGCTCAGAGGACAAAATCCTTGCAAATTCTGTTTCTTAATTACTAGGAAAAGCAGGGCTGAGTTATTAATACTAATTCATAAGGAACTGTGCCAATAAAAACAACAACCAAATGTCAAGGTGACATTGTTTCCTCTGGAGTCATCGTAGGTTCGTTTCACACACCAGCCAATGACAGAACAGCTGCCTTCTACCCACAAGGTAGAAGGGCTGGGGGCAAAAAACCTGCTGTAATTATACAGTTTCCATGCCAAGCTGGAGCAGCACGGAGCAGTCCACAGCCTTCCTGACTGCAAAGGGTGCCAAATGAATCCCCCTCACCTCAGAGCACAAGCCAGATCCAACTGCCATGACACTCAAGATGCCTGAGCCGTGAAAGGACTCATCCAGATGACCGATGGTCAAACTCACAGCTCACTTATTGGCAGGCATTTAAATATACAAAGTGATCTGATGTCACTGCCAGAAATACCTCCTTTGGAAAGCATTTCTACCAAAGCAATGCCCGCACAGCTTGCAGTGATGCCAGTCCTAGTAACCAGCCCTAGACAAAACAGGTCACTCTTAAGGACTCAGTAGTGATAGTATCACCTTGCTGTCTTAAAGTCAATTGGTTAACTGCATACGAGATTACACAAAAATAGGAATAGTAAAAGTAGACTACTTAAAGCAGACTGCTTCAGCATATGTTAATGCCACTAGCTCTTCTTCTGAGCTATGTCACTTTACTGTCTCCTCAGCAACCTGCAAAAGCTTGTGTCTTAGATATTACAATTTCGAAACATTTCAGACACAATAAAACCCAAATCCAAACCCAAACCAAACCATCATCCTGTTCTGTAGTGATAAGTACAAGGGGCTTGGATCCAAAAGTTAGACTTCTAGGGTCAACTGCAATGCAAATAATGATTGCCAACAAGTTTGAAAATGAGAGAATCATCTAAATCAGACAGTGGAAAAGTCACCATATTCATAATTATAAATAACTTTCATAACTTGCTTTCGCTTTGCAGTTCAATATGTTATTCCCTAGAAAAAAAAAAAAGGTAATTTTTAGTATTTTTTAACACTATGACTGTATCTACATATATTTAAGTAGTTGTGCAGTTCAACAGTTAATTTGCACTCTTCTTGACATTTGGTTATGTTACAAAGCACTAAACGGTTATTAAATAGTTGAAGGTATATTTATATTAAATACATAGAGTCAGGATTTTAAACAGCATTCTGACTCCAAACTAACCACTTGAAAATCAGAATGCAAAAGGAAAAGAAATACATCACATCAAGTCTGGAATCAGCAACTGACATGTGAAAAGAAAAGAAATATTACTCATGGCTACTGAATTAACAGCTTATGGAGATCACATATGGAAGATTCTGCAGTTTCCAGGTCTCATCATTTCAGAGTTAGCTTCCATTAATGTGTTCAGGCTTGTGTCACCAGCAACAGCAAAAAAGAATCATACGCAACCCACTTTTTCTATTTCTTCATTGCACATTGGATATGACTGAAATAGATACATGAAAGGCAACTATGAAAATCTCACCCTAGCTATACCACAGGCTGCTGCCATCAAAGGCAGCTCAAACATCCCACAGATTTTTACTTCTTGGTATCTAGCCAGGATTTCTCAACAGTTCAGCTGCTTATTTTTCACTAATACTTTTATACTGTTTCCATTTTTCCAGCTCCTCTACTGAAGTGATTACCAATAGTAAAAGCATGCCAACCTCTTTTAACATTTTAACAGCTTAGATCTTCAAGAAAGTGTAGAGAATTATTTTAACTATTTAAAACCCTTGAAAGCTTCCTTCACTTCTGCAGTTATGCTTTGAGTACTTGATAATGCAAGAAGTATACCTACAACCCCTCGAAAAAATGCATCTTTACACTTAACTTGACTCAAAGCCTGAAGAAAAAAACAATCTAGGCCAAGGAAGTGTATGAGCACATTATCAGGCTGAGGAACTCCACAAAAATCCTAGGATCAGATTACTAAACAGATAATTTTAGCCTACAAAAGACAGTTAAATTAAAAGTTCAAGAAGAAATTCACGCAATGAAGACTTGTGAACACACCTCAGCTCAGGACACTCAACCAGACAAACACATATAAAAAATTTGGGACTAAAGCATATTGTCAGCAAAGCCTTGGACCAACAAGACTGAAAAATGCTAGGTACTGCTAGGAGGAGGACAGGGAGAAATTCTCAGCTTGAGTGAGCCACCTATGATCATCCTACTCACAGAACAGATTTCTACTCTTGATATTCACAAAGAATAATATATATATGATGTTGTAAAGGGGATTTATAAGGAAGAGGATAAATACTGCCAGGATTGTTGGCAAGGACACAAAATGGCGTCTGACAGGTACCTGTGAATTTTGAGCTTTTTTATCTTTGTCACTAGCATGCCACTGCAGAATCTTTAAGAAACTCTGTTAAAAGCGTTGAGATTGATCATATCAACACTTTTGTGGATAAAACACCAAAGCTGCCACACAAAACACAAAAATAAAAAAAAAACAGTATCATAAAGCACAGTGATCTGCGAACAAGTAAACAAAATGCAAGGTATAGGGATGTTTGTATTTCACCGTAACTGCATCTTATTAGATCCAGAAATGTTCTCTATTTCATGAAGAACAGTTAACCTTCCAGTCTGCAACCATGACCAGTTTGAATACAGTGATATGTTACAAAACCATCAGAGAGGCAACATACTGCAAGTAAAACTGTCCATAAATTCAGATTACACAGAAATAAGGCTGTTGAGACCAACTCTACAGGAAGCCTTGGGAAGGTGCTGCATGTTAGCAAGGTCATCAGAATGAAGCAGCAGACCATGGGACTCATCATCGTTAGCAGACCCCTTCTCATTCCCTTCTCAGTGCACAGCACAGACCTGGTGGTGCTCAGCCATGGGAACACTCTGCTATAACTTGACAGATTCAAGAACACTGGTCAGACCTGCCTGAAGTCATTGGCAACATTCATTTTTTAACTAAATTCTCAAACATCACAGAAAATAAGGAAATCAAATCAGCAACAGCTTTTGTATGAACACCTCGACGTGCGAAACAAACCCACACCACTCAAAATCAAAAGCTTCATAAACACATTTTGCCGAATGTAACCCCTCGGGATCGGTAAAACTGTTGCCACACACAGAGCAAATGCTAATTGAAACTAAGTATCTTTACCAGATACTGCAGTATCTGTTAGTAGTTCTATAAAGCTCGGCCACATACACACAATTAAGTGAAGCGCTATTAAGCACCAGCAAGTATTTTCAACTTCCCAAGCTAGAAACTGCAAAAGTCCTTAAAAAGAAGTATGGAGAAGAACAATGAAGCCTGCCCTCAAGAAAGGGGAGAATGAGGCAGGAAACCTGCAGAGAAGTAAAAGCGGACAACCTAACCAGTAACTGTTCACTCCAAGTACAATTAACTCTAAACAAAAAGGAATACAAATAATACAGTATCACTGTACAGTACAAAAGGGGTAACATTTGGCATTTCCACTGCTAAGACAAAGATGTGCCAACACCATCCCTCCTCTTTCCAATCAAGGTGGAGCAGAGGACTATCAGCATGCCATGGCTCACATTTGAGGATTTTAAAACTCAAAAATCCCACAATATTTGTATTGTTCCATTTATAAATAAATCATCATACTTAAACCTTAAGTAGTTAAGGTTTAAAAACATAATTTATTCCAATCCTAAAGCCATTCATTAGAACAAAAGCAAGAGCAGGAGGAAGAAGGGGAAATACAAAATGGATCCTTGATGATTTAACTGAGAAGCATGAGACACTGTCAACCACACGCAATCAAAATTTAGGGGCTTATAGGTTTTTCAAATTTTTCAGCTTCTGCTTATCTGCCCCCTCTCCAATAGTGGCAGATATGTAAACTCCCGAAGGCTGCTAGGCTGGAAAAAATCCGATTTTTTTGATCTGAATACTTAGAGATT